TGTTTAATAATATAAAAACTCAAAAAATCTATGATTTTTTTTGTTATTTATGTATAGAGAGGAATAGTGATGAGGGGTGACGGGTGACACCCCTGAGGTGTATGTACACCTCAATTGCGAGAGAGAAACAGACAAATTAATGGACGATATATTGGGTTTTCAGCTGTAAAAACATTAAAATAAGAACAAATAAATAAACAAAGAAAGAAACAAACGAAGAAACAAACGAACAAACATACGAATACAAATATACTGCCTATGCACAAACACCACCAATCACCCGGCGCGCAGGTGACCTCCTGGTGCTGCTGACGTGAGGGTCACCAGCAGCAGCATATACTGCATGAAATCCTTTGAAATAACTATTAAAATATATTTAAATTAATTATTTTTATTTTATTTATTTATTTTTCCTGAATTTATAACTTATTTCAATCTCTTTTTGCCGCATTTCTACCCTCCGCTTTACTGCGTTTCTGCGGTGTCTGTACACCTGAATGATGCCTGGTGACCTATGGTCACCTGCCACTGTACGGCGCCTTTCTATTCGTTTTTTTTGATTATTTCTTTTTATTTTTTATTTATTTTATTATTTTTTATTGTTCTTTTTGTATTTAGAAGAAAATTAAGGGTCTAGGGGGCTGCATATACACCTGGGGGGGCCCCACCAACAGATAGCCAGTGGCTCTCATCTTATCTTCATTGATTTCTTCTCTGTTGCGCGAATTTATATTTATATTTTATATTTTATATTTTATATTTTATATTTTATGTTTTATATTTCTATATATTTTAATTTCTTTTATATTAAAAAAAAAACAAAAGCTGAAATATAAACCCAAACGAGTTTCTTGTTTCCTATAGCAACCGAGTGCTTCTAGGGTTTAACCTTAAAGGTATAAAAGTCAGGGTTTAGGGTTTAGGGTTTAGGGTTTAGGGTTTTCACAGACGAAACCAACAGCAGATAAAGATATAAACAATCTAGGGTTAATGCAACTGATACAAGACAAACAAATTTCTTCTTTTGCTTTTTCAGAGGCCCCTAGCATATGAGTGCAGTGGCTATACACCTGAACTCTCCAGCACTCACACCCACAGCGAAAAGGGTTTAGGGTTTAGGGTTTAGGGTTTAGGGTTTACGGTTAGCGGTTGTTTCTGTCGTCTTGTAGTCTCAAACGAAACATATAAACAAAGAAAATGCAAAACAAAAAAGAAAAGAAGACAAGACGTAGAGACAATGCCGAGCACCATGGCTAGCTGCAGTGGCTAGCTGTAGCTAGCTGCAGCTAGCTTTAGCTAGCTGAGGGTAACAAAAGCTCGCTATGGAGCCCTTATCACCGTCTAGAAAGAAAGCGAATGGTTACGATTTGAGCTTTCAGGGTTTAGGGTTT